GGACGTCTGGCTGTCGGAGTCTGGGGCGTACAGAGTGGATGGTGAAGGGAAGGGGGGGGGGGGGGGGTGGTGGTCCTACAACCAGGTCCCAATAGGTTGTTATAGCAGCAGATTAATGGCCGTCAACAACCACTAATGAGCGGTATATTCAAGTGACCACATGCTTTAGGCCATGTAGACTGACCGTGAACTTAAGGTGGCATGCATCTACCGGGTTGCCGATGAACGGTATCCGTTGACCAAAAGAGGTAGTAAATGTAACTGCGTGATTCTCTGCTTCAGATGTGTTGAACAGCAGGAATGTGACAAGACAATGAAAGGAGAAAGCAATAGAGTGGGAGAGTGAAAGAGAGGGATGGAGGTCAGCGGAGAGACAGTGCCACCACTGTCCCACCAGTCTCAGTCTCACACACACACACACACACACACACACACACACACACACACACACACACACACACACACACACACACACACACACACACACACACACACACACACACACACACACAGAGAGAGAGAGAACTGGGCCAATAGATCTATCTGCCTCTTTCACTTCACTGCCCTGACAGACTCTGCCTCTGACCGAAACACAACGTTGTGCAAGCGGATGGATGAGCAGAGTCATGGCAGCCATCAGGCTCTAGGGATGCCCACACACACATCCATGTGCTCTTACCTTTGGGATGACTCCATAATGCCTTCCCTAGCCCCTTAGCCTGACCATCACAACTAAATGCCTGCCCACAACCCTTACCTAAACCTTATTCTAACCTGAATCTTAAAACCAAGTCCTAACCCTCGAACAGGCCAAAATGTCCTCACTTTCCTAAACTGTCCTCACTTTGTGGTTAAAAACGTGTTGGTCCCCACTATGTAGCAAGTACACGCATACACACACATACAGCATCGCACACTGGCATACAACTTGCATTCAAACAAAGTGCAACAATGGCACAATGGTTCTCTGTGTTTTACTAGTCCTGCAGCAACTGGACTAGTCAGGAGGCATGGTGCGCTTCCTTTTACACACACACGCACACGCACACGCACACGCACACGCACACACACACGCACACACACACAACTACCCAGCAGGCCTCGACACCAGCTGACAAGCATCCAGCTTCTGTTCTGTCCTTTAATCTGCGATCAGTCTCTATTCATCCGAGCTCTGCTGAATGGATCTTTTTCTCTTCGCGTGAGACAAAGAAGAAACACTTCCTGCTGCCAAAGCTAACTCGAGCGGGAGTTGATGGCGACAAAGACCAAGTGAGACTCTCATGTCCACACGTCTCCGAATATCCTGTCCGTGCCCCTCTACGATCATCATCACAAAGTTTTTTTTAAATCAAGTTTGGCTCACCTTGATCGGCCGCTCCATCTCCGGCTTCTTATAGCGGAGCCACATCATCCCGACGATTGCCAAGGCGATGCAGAGCCAGTTGAAGAAGCTGAAGAAGTTTATGACGGAGAAGATGTCGTTGGAGAAGGCGTAGAGCAGCGTCATCAGACACTGGAGGGAACGAGAGAGAAGTGATTGGGTGTGAGAACCAACAGTCCTTTGTTTCCGTTAAAACATTGCTGTTGCTTTATATCTACACAGATCCAACAGCAGCATTATCCTAATACTTCGTTACTGTAAATCAGTTCCCTTCTGATTTAAAAAAAGATTTATTCGGCAAAGACATCTGTGTTTTAGCGTACTGTGAATTAGAAAATAGGAGGACATACAGTGAATATAAGTGAGGGCAGCGGGGTCAGCAGGGTGGGGTGGATCATTGACAGCAGACTGGGCAGGTGACCCTCCCGGGAACCCACGAAGAATAACCTGACAGGGGAGGAAAGACATGGATGCCGAGTATGAACACAAACCTTTTTGAGCTCTCACCATTTCTACAAACATCTATAGATAGTCTAATGTACTTATTTGTTTCTGGGTTCTTCTTTTCTTGTGTGTGTGTGTTTTACCTGGATGATGTGAACAGAGAGCCGTTGACCGATCCGAAGCAGGACAGGCCTACAAACACAGGGATGATCCACGCCATCGGACCCAGGTGGCTGTTACCAAAATCCTGCAGGACAAACACACACACACACACACATTATAGATAACCATAATAAGTCACGTTGAGTAGCAAAGCAGGGCCAGTCCCACCAGGAAGTGGAGCAGCATCGACAATGGCTTCACACAGTTTCTTTATTTGTGCAATCGACTCCTGTCTAATAAAATAAATTGCTCTTCTGTGTTCATACTCAGACAGAGGAGGGTTAAATAAAAGCTATGATGGCTTTCTGTGTTTTTCCCTCAAAGGGTAGCAGTGTAAAGACTTGTCGAGCTTATATATATTATACAACTATAGCATATCCAGAGGGAAGCCAAAGAGCTGCACTGTTGTACTGCTGGATTATCAGACAGTATACTCTATGTACATGTTGAGATATAGATACATATTCTACTATACTTATCCGTATTTTATTATACTGTACTGTTTTTATATTTGACATTCTATTTCATGGTATCCTATATTGCTGTTCTACACCATAGTGTTGCTGTTATGTAATATTATATTCCTACCTTTCCCCTTATACTATATCTCATATCATAATTTACTATATTATACTGTATTACATTACAGATTGTTTTGCATTATACTCATATTAGATCGCTATATTAATACAGACAAACACTAAGCACCATTACTTAATCATATCATCAGCCTGGTGTACACTGCTAACATGGACTTGACGCTATAATATCAGATCAAACAACTGTCACTTTACCTTGCTATTTTGTCTCCATATGCTCTTGTATAGCATTTCTATTTTCATCTTTTAATATATATATACACCTCTTTTTCATTTCTTTCTTTGACTTCCTCTGTTTATCTGTAGTATCGCTGTCTTTGTGCTGCTGCAACAACCGAAATTCCTTGGTGTGGATCAATAAATTTATCTAATCCTATGATTAGAAACCACCCCAACAGCAAAAATGTATTGACCGTATTTGGCCTTTCACACGAAAATAAAGTAGTGTGTGTGTGTGTGTGTACTCACCACGGCCACAGCCTCTGAGCCGAGCATCTGCTCGGGGGAGAGGGTGGTGAAATAGGCCAGGTTGGTCAGAACGTACACGACCGTCACTATGGGCAGAGAGATGATAATGGCGCGGGGAAGGTTTCTGAGGGAGACGCACACACACATTCTTAGTTACAGACGATCGATCGCTCGCTCCCCTGCAAACAAGTCCATATTTTATCATGAAACGAGTACAAGTTGCTCGTCAACACTCACTTGAAAGGCTCAATCATCTCCTCAGTGACCAAATTCAAGTAGTTCCTGTGAGCAGAAGAGGCAGAGACATCGTATGTAGCGAAACAGATGCAATGCACACTGTATAAAAAACTGAAAGCAATCCAAAGTAATGATTCATGCTGTTCGTTTCCATCCTTCCACCATGAGGGGTCCCGACCTCAGCATTCGCCTGATCCTAAATAGCAGAGTGGACAGTGAGTGACACAGATAGGTCGATGCGTGAACTCACCAGCCACCGTAAGCAAACAGGCCGCTGTAGAGCGACATCCCCAAGCTGCCAAACTCATATCTGGACCCCTCGAAGGAATTTTCTGGAAGGAGACGGTCTATACCACCTGGAGAAAGAAACAAGGAAAAAGAAGTGGGTTAGGACCAAAAAAAATTAAATCCACCTGTCTGCATTATTGCATTACCGAAGGCGAGTTTACCAGTCAGTCTGCAGAACCCCAAAAAGCGGAACAATAAACGAAATAAACCTGCGGTTGCCCAACACACATCACAAAGCCTCGGCTTAAATCTGTCTCCGTCTGTGGATCAGGGAGCGACTCCAGAATGTGACGGATTTAAGATGGGCTGAGACGGTCAATAAGTGACCCAGACAGTGGAATCGACCCGCGGCATTGCAGGACAGACGGAGGAAAGCTTTGTTGCCTTGCTCGAGGGCAGGGCAGCAGTCGTCGAGGGATGCGAGGCTATTACTATCCAACTTCAATTTATCAGCTGTTTTTTTTCCGGATTTAGGACATTTTGGACACAGCCCCCATCTCCTCTGAACTAGAGATTTGCTGCCGGCCACATTCCGGACGGAGCAGCTCCCCACAACGCGCACACACATTCTCAGACACAGTGACGGTTGCTAAACCAACAGCCTGGGGCAGTGTTGGTAAATGGGAGGGTTAGCTCTAAGCCGGCGTGTAGCGTGGGAAGCGCCCGATTACAGCGCACTCCGTTTGACTAACCGCCCCGATGTGCGTCCTGAGGTCCCGTTGCCGAGCCTGGTCAGCGCTGGTCAGCGCTGGTTAGGCCGGGGGTCTCTGGGTCCTGGTCTGCACCCTTTCTAAGCTTGGGTCAATAACTGAGGTTCCTCGTGGTTGTTTCAACTCGTTCAATGAAGCATAAAAAAAGGTTTCCATCAGTTGGGTTGAAGTAATTGAATTGAGGAGTCTTCAAAAGCCAGATTGGTGTGAGGTGTTGGGTGTCCGCTGATAATTCAAGGCGTTCTCTTCAAATGTCTTGTTTCGTCTAACCAACAGCCAACATCCAACATTTTCATTATACAGCTAGAAAAGTCCACTCAGTAGAGTGCAGATGGAGGCGAGGGTAACAAAAGCGTGGATTCATTTATCTCGTATGGCTCCAAACTTTAGTGGATTATAACATATCGGGTATGGAATTAATCTGCAGATGCTCTGGTTCAAAATGATCGATAGATTATTTATGAGCCACGATAAAGGCCACCATGTGGCATACAACAGACTTGGTAAGGCTGTGTCAATGATGGTATAAAACTGCCACTAGAGATCCTTGAGCATACAGTCATAACTGAGTACAACAAATATCCAGCTGATAGGTCAAATAGAGATTAGCTGTGGACAGACGCGCGCACGCACAACCGAACACATGATCTGAACATCAGCGAGGCTTGAGCTCAGAGGAACACCTTATTTGTTCCTAACCTTTACAGCTTGATATTGTGCTCATGTCTGAATCATCACTGACTTACTTTTATGAGTGGAAGACTCATTAAGAGTTGCATAGTAAAGAATTTGTGGCGGACGAACAAACATGTCCAACAACTCTCTGTGTGTTAATTCTACTCTTGCACTGCAATTTACGGGTTTATTCCTTCTTCTGTTGCTCCCAGATCACTTTCCACAACACTGGTCAGGAAACACTCAGCCAGTCACATGATACCAGTGCCAGGCAGTGAAAGTGAGACACACACACACGGAATAAAATATGCATGCACCACCCAGAACACACACACAATCAAACGGTGCAGACGTACCAACAAAGACTGAATGAGAGAAAACCTGATTCCTACCGCTAGAGAATTTAGATTAGGTCTGGTTTAATAATGGGGTTAAATAGAATTTAATCACTTAAAGTCAATTTGCATTAAAAAAGTAAAGTGACTGTTTACTTAAATTTAAGCTGGGCTAGCCGTCTCCAAATGCTTCAAGTCTTTATGCTAAGCTAGGCTAATAAGCTCGTGGCTCTCGCGTCCTACTTCTCGCAGAGAGTGGTGTCGATCTTCTTGTCTAACTCTCTGAAAGAAAACTGGATTCCTGAACTGCTTATTTTTTTTAACAATCCCTTTTTTGTCCTCATGATCCCAACGTCATTAGGGTTTCTCCCCCCCCCATCGTCCAATCTGATGAACTGAGAAACGGTCCTTTTGTGTTGACTGAAGTAGAACACTTTACCAACTGCAGTTAACTTTTAGCATTCTGTGGTTGTCTTGCAAGAAAAACCAGACGAAAAAATGCCAACTGCAAAAATCAAGTATTTTCAACATAAAAAAAGCAGTGCGTTGTGTGTTTTCAACATGTTTGTAGGCCTGGTTTTTGCACTGCACTGTTGGTACTTTTTGTCGGCTTTCCAGCACACAAATTGGTGCACGAGAGGAGAAACGAAATGAGAAAAACAGGCGAACAGTTAAATGCAAGGGGGCACACAAAACGCTCTTATTTTTTTAATTTTCATGTCACCTGATCATTCCAACGGCACGGGGCTAAGTGGTGAGCGAGAGTGGCGTGAAAACCCTGCTTTGTTCCATGAACGCATCATAACAACGGCTTGTGCATCCGCAATCCTCGGTCTTCCGGTGTCCTCTTTTTTTTTATTGATGATGCTGGCACGGAGGGTTACGTCCTGCTAGGAGGCCGTTGGCTGTGTGTTCAATAAGAACTTTTTGGCCAAGGCACACGCTGCTAGATCTTTGATATTGTTTCGTTGTGTCGCGGCCTGGAGGCTACGCGTGCTTGGCAGTGACCGAGTTTGCTTTCGGTTCAAAGAGGCCGTGGATGAGGTTAAGGACAACAAGAAGGTGAGAATCAGGTGGCCTGAAGAAACCATAAAGTAAATCAGATAGAAGTTTACGTAGCTGCTGCTCAACAAGAGATCCGTCTCTGTGAGTGTTTGCCTTCCAGAGGCTTTACTGCTGCTAATCAGATCACACCGTCCTCTAATCCGAGACGCCAGCAGACTCTGACCTTATGAGCCTCAGAGCTCAACGAACACACACAAACAACATCACCATGACGACGAGACAGAAACTACTGCATCTCTACCTGATAACGCAAAAATAAGAGCTGCACCATTTCACAACCGCCATCTAATTAAATATAGGCAGAATGACTTGTTAATTATTCCTGTAACAGCACCCATTACTTAAATTCCCCCACTTTTCCGGTCAATTCACTTCTCCACATGATGCACTTATTTCAGAAATTCAATGCCCAGTAAACAGCCTGTATTATGTGTCGCTTTCTGAATCAGATGGCTTGGTTATTACAATAAATGTGCACTCTTAAAACACCTATAAATCACTCAATAACCTCCCCTTCCAACAGCCAGTGAGGGCCGCAGCGAAGACGCCCCGTCGCAGTGATTGTGTTGATGTAATCGCAGCCACGCGCTCCGTCTTTGTCTGGATCTAGGTAATCCGAGGTGTCTCAGATAAACAGTTATTAGAGGCGCTGTGATGAAAAGGGCTGCCGTTAAAAAGATTTAGGATTTCTGCGGGGGCTAAACACGGGCAGCCGAAGTAGCACAGCAAAAGGACGAGAGTTACAAATGAGTAGAATTACTCTTCACGCTGCAGCTGCACACCTGAGCGGCTATTAGACGGGCAGGGTTTGCATTGTGTTCACGTGGATTGAGGGGGCGACTCAAAGAATGAGTTAATTTCCTTTATTTGGAAAGTGTCCCAAGCACAGGACGTCACTTTTTAAAACTCGATAAACCTGCCAGCCATGAGAAAACTTCTACAGCTACAGATGCATGATTTGCACTATTGTATGTTTGTAATGGTGTGTTGTCTTACGAGTATTACATGTACCTTCTTGGCTGAAGACATACTTCCACTGAGGACAATAAAGTCAATCTATCCAACTTCTAAAGTTTCTCTTTTTTTACCCAAAGGAGAAGAGAGGACCTGCTGTGATGGCCCAAAACACTTTTACAGAAATCCTTTTTTGTTTTTGTTTTTTTGGACCGGACAATGCTCCATACATATGTAGCAGCAGGTTTAACTTTTATCTGTGATCCCCGAACCCTCTGCTGCTGATCTCTGCCAGTGAACAACCCACATACTGTACCTCTTCCACTCTCTCTCCGTATATAACCTCTCTCCCCCTCTCTTTCACACCCACCTTTGCCTCTCTGGCCCCCTCCCTCCGCTTCATCTATCTTTCTGGTCCACTTGTGAACAATTCCAGACAGTATTGAGGGCCTGTTTGCCCACCAGTCAGCTGATCCGAGACCTGTGACCTACGCACAAACAACCCACTGTGCGTGTGTGATGAAGGACTAAACTTCGATCTGACTTTTCAATCAATAATCTACAACTTTTGTCTTGATTTGTTTGATCCTAGTGACATAATGAGGGCGGCATCACGTTCCAGCAACAAGGTAAAAGTTGGTCTTACTGTCACATAGTTTCACCAAACATCATTTTCTCTTAGACTTCTATACAATCAGACTTTTTTTTTTGCAAACAGAGTCGTCTCCCCCTGATGGCCATTAGAGAGAATGTAAAGTTAAGGCTGAAGGTTCATTTTTCAGACCCGGAGGCTACGTCCAATTCTTTTTTACAGACATATGATCATATCATGCAAAAAATGTTTTGATTCCAATTCTAAATTGTATTCAGCACGTTAACACTTTTTGGTTGTTTAGCTAATTTTCTAGATGGTTTTAGATGCTTTAACCTCTAAAAACTGTAGGTTTGGTGCTGCACTTCAAGTTAAAGTGACAAAACTGCTGATTTTCAAAGCCGGCTAGAGTCAATGTTAGGTGTCAGGACAACGGGTGAGGAGGTCAAAGGTGAGCTCCACAAGCACCCGTCAGTCTCTGAGACCTCCACCTCACTGTAAACTCAGTGACATTTCACCTTCGTTGCTCAAAGAGAGATGCCTTTTGAGAGAAAAAACATAATCGACAACACTATTTGCTTTGTGATAATATTCAATCTCACGTCTCACGCCGAGTCATTCAGGTTCAACAAACGGACTTGTTGACTTCCCATGTATTGGATTTTCTATATACATGGACCCAATAAACCCCCAAAGTCTTGGTTCTTTCCTCTAGAAGGCAGAGTTTGATGTTCTTGAGCTCACTTCCTGTCTGCGATAGTTACAACACTATACCTTCTTGAAAAAAAAAAAAAAAAACACCCTTCAATGGTCTGATGACTACAAGTGAATGGGACACAAGTCCCTCCTAGGGTCGCACGGACTGTTTGAGTGTTTGCGTGACTCGGACGTCTTGCAGCCAATAAATAGATTTCCAATGAAAGGAGCTGTGTTCTGCTCGAGGGCCATTGTCCGGTCTCCGTGCCGTCCTCCCGTCTTTGGCTGCACTTCACAACATCCTGTGGCCTTAATGAGGCTTCGGGCCCGACTCCGGGGAGCTAAACACCGGCTACTCCGCTTCCACTCCAGATTTACTTTGGTCAGAAGGGTTGGAAATTACCCACCAGCCAAATGCGGATTGGGTCGATTTTGGAATCCACCAGCCAAAGCAACAGGTGGACAAAACAAAGTTAATTTCAAACACGCTGCAGGAATTTGATCAGATATCTCAGAAGCGGTGCAACACAAATTAAAATTTAGGTTTTTGAGCAATCGTGTTTTGCATATGAGATTATGGTTGTCTCGGTCAAATTAGCTTCACAGAAACAAATTGCAAACAACAAAAAACAATCCGACGGATTTTTCTGTAAACTTGAAATAAATGCCTTCAATTAACTCATTTCAGTTTAGTATTCCCCATCAGAGCATGAGAATGTCTGTCTATGGGATGCTCCTTCCCTGGAATCCCATGGAATCTGCATTAACAAACTATTTGCAGAGCGGAATTAACCCCTCACGGTTTGTACTTTTATCACACATAGGAGAAATTAGTCTTCAAGAATTTATACCAGAAGTGGTATATTTTTCACCCAAACCACAATCTTTTCCTAAACTTGGTCAAAACCTGGTCAGTTTGTTGCCTAAATCCACAGATGGATTATTGAACGGCCTTCCCGGGCACAGGCCCAGGGGCTTAAAAATCTACTAATTGTCACTCAAAGAGACACGTATCAACCAGAAAGAGACTCAAAAACAACAATAAAGTCTGTGTGTCTTGCTCCTATGTAGGACAGGTGGTGAGGCCTTTTGCCTCTTAATAGAAACATCTGCCTGAAACTTGCATACATGCATACTCACATGTGTACTTGTTGGTATGCTGATTTTATGATAAAATGCTGATTGCTGACTAATTAATAATGTTGCCAGACAAGTAGAACAAATTGTATAAAAAGGTCCCTTGCCAGTAGGACAGAGAAGTATGGCTCTTTTTTTATACTAATATCACGCTTTTTTTTTTTTTTTTTTGAATGACAAGGTATTTGAAATTATTCAGAAATTCGATAAATGATATTGAACTCAACGTGCTTATTTCATTTCATTATGGTGCTGATGCACACATCTTATGGGTTGCATATACTGTATGGCCATTGAAGACGTTCATGACCCTCGGATGGAACCTTGTGAAGTATGTGCCTGTGCGAGGTACCTTGTCCGATCTTGACGAAGCCGATGATGATGATCATCCCAAGAGCCAGCAGCTTGCCCGCGGCAAAGATGTCCTGCACTCTGGTGGCCGCCTTCACACTGTAGCAGTTCACAAAGGTCAACAAGACTGCAAAGACAGAGAGAGAGAGAGACAGAGAGACAGTAAGTGGCATCCTTGAGAAGTAGCTCTCTGAATTCCACGTGGTGCTTCACTCAGTCTATTATGCAACAGAGGATTTTTTCATTGGGTACACAAACAATTGACTTTTCTGCAGCCGTTTTTAGTCGCTTTTAACAGTGTTTCCCCGAAACCCTCTTTCATTTTGTACTCAAATTTGAGATTGTGTAGAAGCGTGCATGCCTGTGTGTGTGTGTGTGTGTGTGTGTGTGTGCGGCTCTAAAAGCATGCTGGGAGCTGAAGAGGAATCCGCAGATTGGTTGAATAAACACTTCCCTCTATACACCCCTCTTTGATTTTACCCACACATGTGGAGTGATGGTAACTGAAGCAGCCCCCTGAACCCTGGACCCCATTAAAAGTGATTAACCAAAGCAGCAGGTTCCCTTCAAAGCTGCTAAATCAGGTCGGGGGCCACGACAGAAAGACGAGACGGAGCACAATGAGGCTCTGTTTTAAAAGAGACCACGACAAAGGGGAGAGGGAGCCTGAGTACAGTAGATGCACACACACATTCACACAGGCATGCACATACATAGCTGGCTGTTATGTGGGCAAATGTGTACATGTGTCTGTACATGCATGCACAAAACATACGCACGTGCGCAAGCGAACACACAGAAATACCTCGATCTCGGTTACACAATTTCAAATTCCCAGAGAAACGGGTCAAATGGAACGATAACTCTCACCAAAATAGGCCGACAGGGCTGTAGATGGATGTGTGTTTGTGTGCATGGAGATTTGGCTCTCAGGCTCACCGTGACCCTGACCACCACACTGCCTATACACGTGCCTATACACACACACACACACACACACACACACACACACACACCTGAGCCCTCTCAGTCTATGGCTTTGTCATGTGGCCTCAGTCGGGATTTAGCCTTCAGTCAATCTGAAGATTAGGTGTTAGGGTTACTAGCTGGCAGCACACACACACACACACACACACACACACACACACACACACACACTCATATACACTATGTCAAGTGGCAGCATATATTCAGATACAGACGCAGTGTGTGACTTGAAGCGGGGGGGCTTTGAGTGATATTAAATGTATGGCATGTTTCTTCATCGCATTTAGTCTGATTTGCATACTTATTTTACTGTTTTACACATACAAAATATATATACTAGCAACAAATTGTATTTTTTAAGGCCTATTTATTCTTCAAAGAGAAAGATGCAACAATAATTAAGTAGGCCACAACGTATAATACACAATAATAGCATATTTTAGCGTCGTTGTTTCTTAGTTTTGAAAGTCATAGACAGACCAATAAAAATGATTATCATTATTCCATAAATATGGAAAAATATAACATATCACTACATATAAATAACAACAAATAGCACGTATAATAAAATTAAATTACTACTCCTAATGGGTGTAATTTAACGAGACAATTAGCTGGTGATGCGCGCGAGCATCCTTTGTCATCAAGGGGCTGATGTAAAAACGCGACAATTGTACGCCACTCTTCTTTGAGGCTGCACGCGTGGGTGGACACATGTGTTGATGTGCGTCTCTCAACGGCATCACACGTGCGCCGTAAAGTATTACACACCGGCGCTTTCTAGTGCAAAACCTATGCGAGTCGGTAAATCAATCTAATCTGTCTGTGTCAGAACTAACACACACACACACACACACACACACACGCACACGCACACGCACACACACACACACACAGGAAGTTTAATTTAAGCCGTTTGTATTCCTACCGCTGGCACAACAAACAAAGCAACATCTCAAAGTTGCATCATCCGCGGGGGGGGCAACGTGGCTCGGCTCGCATACTCACGGATGCAGAGGCAGGCCACGAGTTTGGCCCCTTCCTCCGGCACCGGGCACACGGGGAACAGGGGCTTGAGGAGGTAGGTGGCGAACACGTAGGCGACGATGTACTGCGAGGACGGCCGGATGATGAGCAACTCGATCCAGAGTTTGAGGAAAGCCACCAGGGAGCCGTACACCTCCAGAATGTAGGCGTAGTCCCCGCCGGACTTGGTGATGGTGGTCCCCAGCTCCGCGTAGCAGAGCGCTCCCACCGTGGAGAACACCCCGCACACCGTCCACACCACCAGGGACAGACCCACCGAGCCGGCCTCCTTCACCACGCCGGACGGCGTGACGAAGATGCCCGAGCCGATGATGGTGCCCACGATGAGGGCCACGCCGTTTATCAGGGTGATGTTCTTTTTCAGGACGATCCCGCCCTCTCCCGCGGCGGCGGCATTGTTGGGGTCGCCTCCCGGCGCTCCGCCCTGGTCCCCCTTCTCCCCGACGCCGCCCGGCGGGGACAGCATCTTTTCCGTGACTTGCTTGTCCTCTTCCCTTTCCGCAGAGGAGTTAGAGGTTCTCTTTTTTAACCCCGACATCGTTGGCTCTAGTTTCCTCTTCCTTCACACTAGCACGGTGTGGGGGACACACAAAGCTTCTCGCTTTGCCGGCTCTCTCCGTCCTCTCTCTGTCCGTCCGGTGCGTGGTCTGATACCGGCCGGGCTCAACCACGAGGAGTCCGCGGTGAGTCTGCTTGTGAGAGTCAGAGCGACGTGCCTTCTGGTATCCGCGTGCGAAACTACTATGACAATTGGCATGTGGCCCTCCTCCGTCAAGGCCAGCCCCTGCTTCTGGTTCGGCGTCTCCTCCTCATCATCAAAACCCTGCATCACTTTTGCACCTTTTCCGCACTCTAGCGGCGGAAGGTGGTTCTACATCTCTCTGTGCTACACCTCACCCCCACCACCACCACAACCTCCCAGTGATCTGAGGTTGATGGACCCCAGTAGATGCTGTCTTTATGGCATCATCTCTGCATAAAACAACATGGAAGTACTAGCAATACAGCACAGAAGCTATATTTACTCAACACTATAGAAGCACTTTTTCCCACCCAGCCAGGCACCCAAACCAGCTGGACTGGTATTATAGTGTTCTGTCTGTGAGAGCCTCTGACCCTGGGTTGAACATTGCGTTCGATATGAAAAGTGAAATACCACCCTATTATCGGAAATTCTAGCCCACTTTTTGATTTTACCATGTTCCCATCAGTTTTGAGAGTTTGTCATCATTGAATCAAACACATCACCATCAGGGCTACAGGGGACTGAAGCATATTTCGGCATCCCCCTGGTTAAAGGCGGGGCACGCCCTGGGCAGGTTAACACAGATCTGTGTGTAGACAGGCAACCATTCTCACACCTGCAGGCAAATTGGAATAACCAGTTCAGCTAAACCGCCCTATACAAACAGATGGCATGTACACCAGATTAAAACAATATATACAGGACAAAAGCTCCATTTTTTAAAGGCAAGTTCCCCCCCTAAATCCAGAGATTCTGCAAATATTGGAAAACAATAGAAACATGCAGTAAGAGAAGAAACTACGCTTTCATTCTTGAACGTATTGATTTGCACGTTTCTCTGTAATTTCTTCTCTTTCGTCACACCTAAAATGTATCTTCATATAATACTCATTCCAAGATTTAGTCTGTCAGCGATTAACTTCATTAATTAACAGTGGATGTCAGTATAGACCCTCTGTTAAAAAACTGCACTTCAGGGTTTTAATTCTATAGGCAACAGAGCTTGTGATCATGTTCGGTAAAGAAGGGCTGATTTAAGGAACAAGATAGACAAGCAGTTAATTTTAACTGTCACTCTGGCCACATCCAGCCACCCAACAATGCTGGTAAAGGCTGCTTAACCAAAAGCATTTTTTGATTAGGGAATTAGAGAGGAGTGGCAGATTATAGGGCGAGGTTTTCAGTGTGTGGTTGGAGTGTGGCCTCGCCTTTTGTACTGGAGTAAAAATTTTGAGATGTGGCGGTGTTGCAAATCAGTGTCCTGGATGAGTTTAAAGGGACGACAGACACCAGACAGTTGACTCTCAAACCACCTCTGTGCCAGGCCCACAAGCTCACCAACACACACACACACACACACACACACACACACACACACACACACACTAAAACATCAAACTCCATGAGCCAAAATGTTAAACCTGGAAGTCCTGTTGTAGCCTCCCTGTCTCATATCACGGGGAGACAGAGATAAAAAGCATAATGCATAACGCATAAGCGTCTATATATGAACACGAATAGTCTCAAAGTGGAAAGCCCCCCCCTAGAGACAAACACATAATGTTCTTAATACTTCTGATACATACAAACACATCCACTGACAAGAGCCACAGACAGACTATTTCCTTTGTTGAGACGAGGTGGATAAGGTCAACATTTATTGGTCGAATGCAGCCTGAAGGAGCATCCTTCCTGATATTGCCTCTCTCCGTCTACGCAAAGCCTGAAGAATGCAGGACCTTCATCTCAGGTTGAGCCACAGATCAAGACACACAAACGTGCCTTAATCCATGTCTGTCGTCCCTGGCTCATCTAACTGTGTCTGTCTGTCTTTGTAAACCTGTACAACAGACCCCATAGGCCCCCGAGAGACATGGGAATAAATTAAGGAGCTTTTTTTTGGGCCACTGTGGGAGGCTGACTTCTGTCTGTCCACAGCTTATCTCTCATTCTGCTGCTGCAAACTGCATAATATTTTGGGTGGATAGTTATGGCTGTGCACCCAAGGACCTCTCATGGTTGCGGTGACTTACGCTTTCTAAAAATAGCTTTTATTGCCTGTTTTATACTGCCATTGACTGCCTGCTGACTTGTCACACACTACTCTTGAACTGGCCCTAACCGACAGGGGCCACTAGTGATCACACAGCTGAGTGCATCTCCAACTAAATTAACTACCAGTACACACACTGCTGTACCACCTGGCTCTTATTATTGTGGTGGTCTGTTTGGCTAACCGCTAACAGCTAAATTAACTACCAGTACACACACTGCTGTACCACCTGACTCTTATTATTGTGGTGGTCTGTTTGGCTAACTGCTAACAGCTAAATTATATACCAGTACACACACTGCTGTACCACCTGACTCTTATCATTGTGGTGGTGTGTTTGGCTAACCCCTAACAGCTAAATTAACTACCAGTACACACACACACTGCTGTGCCGGCTCACCTTTATTGCTTTGGACGGTGTGTCTGGCTAACCGCTAACACTGAGTGCACTTTTCTAATTTGATATGAAGCTAACAAAACCCTTTTTAAAAAACTTTGATGTACTGCAGACCAGTTTCTACACACCAATTAGCTAAATTGCATGGGTCAAAGTCCAGGTTTGATTTTGACTCCAGTCTGTTGAGCATGAATCAATTTGTTGCTGTCTCCATCTTTTTCAACATCGGAAAAGATCAGTTGGAATAATGCACAATTTCATTCAGAATGACTGAATCATAAAAAATAGTTTGCATCCCAAGAAGCAGTTCATCATAAACGATAAGGCTGTTGGTGTTCTATATTTTATTGTCAACAAACCCCATTAAAGACCAAAACATCAATGAATTTATGATGGGATATTTGCACATCAGTGTATTCACACATTTGTGTGTGCAAGCATGTGCATACAAAGGCTCTGTGTGTGCAAACATCATTGTGAAATTACTGTAATGTTTGGTATTGCTACTAAACCAGCCGAGACTATGCTGCTTATGATTGGTGGCCATGGTGCTACTACACACGCTGCAATACATGCCACTATAGTGAGTGTAACTTTGTTAAAAATATTTAACACACCTGTTGTTGATGGGTGTTTCTTCTTCAAGCTTTAGTGTTTGTTTTATCTGCTGATTTTACGTCTATAAATAAGGCCACAAAAAAACACAGACTCAAAATAACCACAAAGAGACTCAAAAAGCCCACAACAAAAAGTACCAAGATGACTACAATGAGACACAAAACTAGAAGCCCAATGCACCTACAAAGTGACTCAAAATAACAAAGAGATACATAACAACAACAAAGATACACAACACAATCACAAAGAGACAGGAAATGACTACAAAGAGTCACGAAACAACTATAAAGATGCAAAATGACCATAAAGAGACACACAACCACAAAGAGATACGTAACGACTACAAAGAGACACAAAACAACAACAAAAAGTAGCTAAACACCTATAAAGTCTCTGTGTCTTGCTCCTATGTAGGAAAAGTGAAGGAGCTTTTTATATGTCTGTGCCTAGGGGCCCATTTTCTCATAACCCGCCCATGACAAGAGCGTAGTGTTGCTGATATGGGAACCCTGCACCGATGGGAAAAGGTCCGTAAACAAAGCATCGACTCTGTGATGTGGGTGTGGGAGAGGTCAGGCAGCTGTAGTAACATCCACTGTTTCCAGCTTGTCTCCCATGGAATCTGTAGGTAGGCTGACCACTGAAACCATCAAATACACAAACACAGGACGCAGGAGTTACTGATAACCATGCAGCCTGTATGACTCTAGTGCTGTGAAACATAGTGCAGCCAGTTTGGATGTGATATTGTGAAATGAGGTCCACTCCCAAATGCATTCGAGCAAACCAGTTCAGATGCGGCATTAAAGTCAAAACATGGATCACGTAGGATGGAAGTCCTTTGTCTGAAATATCCGAAGCACCAAACAAACACATCAGATCAGAGAGGCTGAGGAGCGCAGGGATGAGGGAAACAAGAGGAAGAGCAGCTGGCTTGGAGTTCAGAGGCAAAAGGGCCTCTCGTTATGTTCCTGTTTATAGCTCGGCTTGTATGCAGAACACGAGGTGTTCTTGGGATTGTTGATCAAAAACGAGTTCCCTGAAACAGAGAACAGATGGACAGCAGGAAGACGAGTTCTCTAATTAGAATCGGCCTCTCTGCTTCACTGATGTCCGCTGGACCAGGTCACAAGAGATTTCACATACATGTGAAATACTATAAAGGCCTGTTAACTGTTCTGATAGTCAGCTAAGGAACCATCTTAGTCCATGCTCTTAGATAAGCATGAGAGCATGTTAGCAGGTTTCATCCTCTTTGGACCATCAATGTCAACGTATAAGATTTCATGGCAACCCGACCAATAGTTGTTGAGTTATGGTATATCAGTCTTGACCAAAGAAGTGGCTAAAACATTAAAAGATACATCAATGAGTCACATCGTTGCACTGGGTGACAAGTGCATTCATTACAATGAACACACACACTGAAGTTTATGTTGTCTCCATCACACATGCACCGACCTGCTGCTGTAACTGACCACTAGAGCGCCAAGCAGATAGTCCCCAACAAATACACAATTCACATGTTTACATCCAAAATTCAGAGCTTATCTTGTGCCTTCACGCGGCTCTCAGCATGGCGACGGCTGTGGGTGCTAACAGCGCTAACAGTGCAAACAACAGCAAACGAGCTAAAGGTGTTTACCTGAGGGGGAACCGTTGGGTGGGCACTATGCTAATGACACAACGCAGACAGTCTGGATGTAACCGCCATATTAGAGCGGTGCAAGCGCGGTCATTAGCTAGCTAGCGGGGCGGCGCTCACATTGACTTAAAGGATAGCGAGGCCGGCCCTGCTAAAGAATACAAAGCACTAACAAAACACAACACACATTTTCTGCTCAAGTGACTATATCTTTACATAGCAAATAGTTAAACTTAAAAAAAATGTGAACTTTATTGTAATCATATATTTTGTAGATGTTATATATGAAATGTATCCTCTGCATTTAACCCGTATTTCGGGAGCAGTGGGCTGCTGAGAAGTAGCTGGGATGGAGTTAGGGGTTCAGTGTCTTGCTCAGGGACACTTCGGCACAAGACACACAGTAGCCAAGGATCGAACATTTGCAGAGCAACGGCAGCCCAAAAGCGTGCGCCGCCCGGGAATCGAACCCGAGTCGCAAGAATGGGAATCTTGCATGATACCAGCAGCGCAGATGATATGTCACCGTTATCATATAAAAACATTCAAGTGACATTTTAGAAAATATTAAAGCCTTTTTCAAAAACAAAATGATATGTTGCACTTTAGATTTACCTCTTGAGTGTAGGGAATTCAGAAAGTATTCAGAGTAGTGCACTGTTGGCTTATAAGAAAGAACACATATTTACATTTTATAACGCTTTCTCCACTCGCCTGTCATCAGCTCAAACAGGACAACAGGCAGATGTTTACCTGTCAGGCAACATTCTCTCAGAGATCATTGGGAACCCATACGGGGGAAAAAAATGCTACACTGTATGTGTAAGCGTTAGCCACATTTCATTCCGCGGCACATGCATGCTTAGAGTCGCACACATTGTCCAGTTCAAAGGTTTGGGAGACTCCAGTCAGTCTGTCCATTCATACAATAAAGGGAAGCCCAGTAGAGACTGACTGGTGAGTCCCTGAAGACTCCGACAAGCCAAGCACAACACACAAACACACACACACACACACACACACACACACACACACACACACACACAGAGAGAAGCTTCAACCATCGTCTCTTTGGTGTATCAGGTGGAGATCAAAATCCCCCCAGGCCGTGTTAACAGTGTATAAAAGAGTGTAAACAACACACCCTCAGGACACCAGGAGTCTGGGCGGGGGCCACCAGACATCCCCTTTCAGAGCCAGGGTCTTCAAAGGTATCGCCGGGGTTAGGGTGGGGGGTGGAGACAGAGAGGCAGTGGTCGACGTTTTATTATTTTTTCAACTCTTTCTCAGCCTGGTTCATGCTCAGAGATGAGTCAGGTCAGGTGAGCCTGCAGGAGGGGGAACAACGGGGATGTATACATTCCTGAGAAACAGCAGCACCTTTGAAGGCCTCAGACTTCAGCTTGGTATTTTCCAGCATATCAGGTTGTGTTATAAGTTTACACAGATGTCATGACAACTAAAATGCATCATTGCAAAGCAGTCACCACTTTATATTTCTGCTCCTGTCATAGGGACGACAAGAAAAAGAGGCACAGATATACACGCTTTTGACATCACTCGTTACTTTATTGTTAAATATCATCTATTAATATATCACTTTCTATCTATATCATGACCCCACCCCCCCCAGGGGTCTCTTGGAGCAAAACACATCCTGGTTGCTCAGCTGGACAGGGGCCTGTAAAAGAGCCATCCAGGTGGAGCAAATCATGCTGGGAGGGGAGAAGGGGCCCCCAGTGAAGCCCTGCAGGGCAGGAATGTGGGCTGCCCACTATACAAACAAACAGTTAAAATATGCAATGCATACAGTGCACAGCATACACCTGCTAAAACATCACACGGAGCTGCAGAAGGCAAGGAAAGCTGCACTACGAGTGTATAACGGCAAGATGACAGCATTCTGTAATACCTATATGTTTAGAGAGGCAGACGTAATATAAGTCAGGAGAGGATGTAAAAATGTTGAACTCCTGAAGACCTAAAAAAAAAAAAAAAAAAAAAAAAACTTATTCTGAACCATCTATGATCATGTCCAACTGATTCCTGATGTTTTTTTCCAGCTTGACAGAAAAGGCCACGCAGACAAACATGTTTTTACAGATTGAACATTTTTTACTGGAATATTATGATATACATTGCATTAGAAGTTGTTCTTTTTTTTTTTTTTTTTCTTAAAAGGGCATTTACATGAAGGCACATGAAGATCATGGTGCACATTTCAAATACTTCAATACAAATACAGCTGAACAAGATGAAGGCAGTGCCGGGTCCCTTGTCTCCATTGTTAGTAAAAAATACATTGAACATAGATTATGTATTGCATCAGAACAGAACAAAAAAGAATAAAAGAAAAAAGGCAACAGAAGTGGCATCACACTTCCACACCAAGTCCACTCCTTCGGCGTCTATCTGGCAAATCTGCAGCCTTTCGCGACGACGTAACATCACTCGGAGCGCATCGCTAATCTTTTCGACGCATATCCAATTGAGTCTATTCAGTGTGTGTGTGTGTGTGTGTGTGTGTGTGTGTGTGTGTGTCTGATGCGAACGTCCATGCAGGAAAGGAGCAACGGCTATTTCTATAGCGGTGGAGGGCCAGTTTGGGCCAGTTGCATTGTTCCTCGGGGGGATTATATAGACGGCAGCTCTCAACCCAAACTGTGAGTTCACGTGTAGATAAACTGAGAAGAAGTCAGATACACGTGGCTTTTTAGTGCAATTATAGTTCCCCCGTCCTAAAGCATGTCTGAGAATCTGAACATATCTTTTCACGTACCGTTTCCAAATCAGAACTAGCATTCCTCTTCATCCCTCTCCCTGTCTCGTTCATCAAACCTCTTCTTCTCTTTTCTAATAGCGCTGCATGGGGAGAGTCGTCGGGCTGACAGAGCGACAGATGGCAGACTTCTTTACACGATGCAAGGTTGCGTCATCTCGCTCTTGTTCTTGCAGCGATATTGGATTAAGTGGGAAGAAAAAAAAAAAAAAGACGCACAAAGGTGTGTTTGGTTGACTTTAGGGTAGAGATTCTGTCGGTCTGGATAAATTGCATCAAGTGTCGCGCAAATAGAGCCGCAGGGAAAGAGGAACTTCCCACGAACACTCGTTACTATGCAAATACTTTCAATCCAGCCTCGGCACAGAGCCTTTATCTAGAGTACGGGACAGTATTCATGTTCGTTGTTTGTAATATCTCTGGTTTATAGCGGCCTTTAACGAACACCGTTTCCCATAAGCCTTTATCTCAGGCAAGTCTGGGATAACAATAAATGCTGGAGAAGATTTTTAGACAGCAGAGATTACGGCTATAAAACTGGGAAACAACTTCACAAGAGAACAAGTACTTCTGTTGCTGTGCTTCTTCATTTCTTTGGGAGTCGTACAAAGTCGTTTAGTATTACTAAAATCATTCATAAGATGACAATGTGACTTAGGATATGGAAGGAAAACCCCAGGAACACGCTGCATTGTTTCTCAAAGACGGATGGAAGACATCCTGAACCAGAGATTGCACTTAACAGTTGCAGACAGTGAAAGAAACTATAAAGATATTTTTAGACTCCGGCTAACAGGCGAGGTGATACACAAGGCTGCTGTGGTCAGTTGGTCCCACTCTGGTCAACCCGTCAATCCAGCCCTACCACAGCTATTCATTGAAGTATCCTTGACATTCAAATTTAAAACACATAAAAGCAGTTTGGACTAGTTCAGATACTCTACGTTACAGTATTTGCAACTCTTTCTCATATTGGATTCATCTCATCACGTTACTTTGATCAACAGGAAGCTAACAGAACCAGACGGACGGGTTCCCTCCGGATAAAGATGATTCAATCAGTTGAGCTGAAAGTCTAGTCGGTTGCCGGTTTACCTAATTCCCCCACCGTGTCCCTGAACTCATCGTGGCCGAAACACACCGGTGTGTTGTGGAAGCTCTGCCGCGTCACAGACTCGACCGATTCCTCCGAGACAACTTTGCGCGCTGAACCGCGCGGCGGAGACTCGCCTCGCATGTCTGAGTTGGAGCGACACAGAGAATATTTAAGGCACTGTGGTTAAAAAAAAAAACTAAAAAAAAACGCTACTTCCAATCAGAATGTTCTTAAAATGCATGTGTGCTACTGTAAGCTGGCATGTTTGAGAGTATTAGTTCTGAGTAGAAGGCCCAAGGCTCGGTAGAGGGATGTCGCATGTATCCTATAATCTCTTTGTAACAGATTAAAAAAAAAAAACATACATTCTAATCATCTTGTTAACGTATAGATGACAAAATGAATGATAAAACCCAACAACCCACCATATATTATTATTAGAATTTTTAAAGCCCTTTATGATATTCAATTTATTATGCATTGTGTAGTCTGTTAAAATCACCTGGGCTTTCTGCTGTAAACTAGCTGCAGCCTCCTTGTATAGTCAGAAACATCACGAGCAGACTCTGCTGTAGTACCGGCTGTGGCCAGCACACGGTGCTGTTGAGTTCTGGCCTCAGCCGTTCTCCAGACTGAGCTGCAGCTACAAACCCCACGGACAGTAACATGTAACGTATAATAAACACAATTCCTGTTATCAAAGTTAGTAAAACCACATATTCCCCCCCACAGCAGCCATCCCTTATTAGTTATTGGTCTGCGGCACTCAAAACCAAAATCGGAAAAAAAAAACAAAGTATCCCTACACCCTCCATGTAAAACAGGTTTGTAATAAAAAATAAATGGATTCTGTTCACTCCTTCAAAGAAAAACAGCAATAAGTAGAACTGAAGATCCTGTGAGGAAACTTTGTCATACTTCAAAATATGTTTTCTGCTTCAAATGAGATGAGAAACCTTTTGTAGTGACGGAGTTAAAAATAAAAGATGGAGTGTGGACAGTTGCTCACAGAGTGAAAGGTAGTTCTGGTCCCTGTGAGTACCGGGTCCAGCGGCGTCAGTGGGAGTGCTTGTCGCCTGCAGCCTCCTGCAGGAAAGGAGTGAAGGAGGAGCGGACGGTGCGGCCGCAGGGCGACTGCTGCACGCGGAAGTTGTTCACCATGCTCTTCTGTACGTCCTCCTCGGCAGAGGTGAAGAGGAGGCTCCGGAAGACCGCCAGCTAAAATAAAAATAAAAATAAATTTTAAAAAAAGGGGGGGGGGGGGGGGG